ACAATAACCGCAGAAAATCAATATGCGTGTCATGACCTCTCAGTATGAAACAAGCGGCAAAATTCACATTTACTCATTCAAAGAGTAGAACCCAGAATATAATATACCCACCAGAGAAAACAATTTTTGGAACAAGCAGCATTTTGGCACGAGGTAAAAGTCGTGTGTTGCCTACCAGCCCCCTTTTTACACTCTGTTAGATGGTTCGAGCATTTTGGCGGGATCACGGCTCTTTTGGCGCGTGTTGTAAATGCCCTTTGAATTATAATATTTGTGCGTTATTGTATAGTGATCGAGGATATACACAATACCAAAGGCAAGTAAATATTTTCCTCAGTTTTCCTCAGTGTCGTCAAACCGGCTTCACCGATGTGCTCGAACTCCGCATGCGAGAGCCATAACAAGCTGCTCCTCTATCTTTTAAATAATAAAGGTCTCTCTTACCTTATATCGGCGAACACAGTTTCTGTCCTTCGGACATAATGCGAAATAACATCCAGAACTCTTCACGTTGAACTTTTGAAACCATTTCGGCGACAATATGTAACTTACCAGGTAACGTACCGAATAATTATTACTTTGGAGGGTTCGAATTCGACCTTCATAAAGCGCTAGATTTTGCCTTTCGCTTAAGAAACGAAAAAATATTTCTTTTTTTTCCAAGACTTGCACCAAGACCCTTTTTTAACACCAACCATGAATTCAAGTATTTTCATTAAGTGATTTTGACGAGAACCATAGCTGAGTTAAAATATCTCGCTCCGATGGTATAAATTCGGCGCGCAGAAGACAAGCTCTGACATTTGACGCAAATTTGTGTCCTGTCCTAAAATGAGTTTATTGACAGATGAACTGACAGAAAGCGATTAATGTGCACACCTGAGGTGCGCAAGGAAATGTGTCAAGACTAACGCCTTGTAGTTACTTGAGTCCAGTTTGTGGGCATCTCCATGGAAATTAAGGATCCCTGTTGCGTGCACGAAAATCGACCGTGCGGCTCGTAATGCCAGTACTCAGCGTCGTTGTAATTAACAATAAACTGAAGTTGTTGAAGTGTTGTTGGAGGCCGGTTGTTGTAGGCTATGGTTAAAATTCCCGGGTGAGCTCTTTCATAACCTCTCATATACGCATCAGCTGCTGGTTTTCTGCAGCAGGAGGTTCACTGTACACACGAGCGATCAACTGATACCCAGGATGGCGTCCCATCATTTTGTCTACTGATGAACCCTTCTCTTGTAGATTCGCCAGTTTGTTTTCACACTTGTCTAAATTGGAGTGTATAACAAGAACCTCTTAGCGGTTGCTTCTCTTTGCCACGAACATTTCACATCCTCCAAGACTTCTAGTGAAAAACCAATGGGCCCTTCTTGGATGTAAGACCATATAAGTGTTTTTGTTTGGCTCTTGTTGGAGAAGCGCTGCTTGAAACTCTGGAAGAGTTGCACATTCCTTTCCACCGGGGACGGGTGTGTCAGGATTTATTTTCACTTTTACCACAAACTGTAAATCCCCTTCAACGTAGCAGGACTTTGTGAAATCGTAACGTACTTCGTTGTCGCTGTCGGCGATTCTTTTCTGCGCCATAGAACTGGTACAGTCAAATTGAGGTGATAGCTTGTCTGGGATAGATTTTCCACTATAGTTTCCAAAGAAAGGCTTTCCATTTCCAACAAGGTTGGAAAGCGCTTTAACGTTTTGTTTTTGCCATAGTAAAAGGGTTATTTTTGTGGCCATAATTTTGCACACTTTGGTGGCATAGGGCCCTGAATGAAAAAGCGAGGAGGACAAGAAATACAGCCGTTGCTGGCTGCTGGCTACGGCTACGGCTGCGTTGCCATTGTCATTAAAGGAAAAAAAAGAAGGCAACAATAACTTATAGCTTGACCAATTATATCCTGGCTAAAAAATGGGATTTCACGCTGCTTTTGATCTCCAAGGAAGCAGGTCTCGTACTAAGATACAATGACCTCTGTCTCAAGATGAAATTTATTATTTATCATATGCCTGCATCCAATTACCTAAAGACAGCAATGTCTTGTCCCAGTTGATTATGATACTTTCCAAAGGTTATCTTTGTTGTTGTTTATGAGCCTGTTTTTCCTCTTTTTGTTTTTGCTTTAGCTTCTTTTCCAAATCTTTGCATTGCTCAGCGTAATGAAAATACAATCTTTTGAAAATTTTCCGCTATTCATTTTCAAGTGACCAAAAGATTTGATGACATCTCTCCATCTTGTAGGCTGTTTGGATCGATCACTGACTCATCAAAGCGTGAGAGTTTCTTCACGCTTTCGAAGATATGATCCATTCGGTCTGGAAAAAGCGTTATTAGATGGTCGACTCGACTCATTTTACATATTTCTGCACCTAAAAAATAGCTTAATGACAAATCGTTCCATTTAAAGCCTCCGGGTGCGTTAAGCAGAGTGGTTAAGCACTGAGTACAGACGGATATATTTTAAAGAAGTTAAGCCTATTTTGATAAAATATATACAAACGGGTA